TTAAAACTGGGAATACTTTGGTCCAGACTCTTCTGGCTTTCATGGTTTGCACTGAAAAGTCAGTTGTAATCCTAATGGGTTTTCCTTTTATGTGACTTATTGTTTCTTTTTTCCAGCTTTCAGTATTGTCTCTTTATTTTGTACGTTTAGTGTTTTTACTGTGATGTGCCGTGGACAGTTTCTTTTCTGTTCCTGTCTGTTTGGTGCTCCATATGGTTCTTGTATTTGTATGGGCATGTCTTTCTTTAATTTCGGGAAATTTTCTTCCACAATTCTGTTAAAGATCTGGTCCATGCCATTATCTTGGGATTCTTCTCCTTCCTGTATGCCTATGATTCATAAGTTTGGTCTTTTTATGGTATCACTCAATTCCTGCATATTCTTTCTTAAATTTTTCATAATCTTTGCTTGAGTGGTCTAGTTCGCCCACTTTCTCTTCCAGTCTTTATACTCTGTTTTCCATTTCATTCATCCTATTGGTGAGGCTTTCTCTTGTTGTTTCTAATTGGCTTACTGAGTGTTTCATGTCCTTCTTCATTTCAGCCTGAGTGTTCTTCAGTATTTCTAACACTTTTCTGAATTCATTCAAAAGTTTATCCCTATCTTCCTTCAGTTCTTTGATTTCTTTGTGTGTTGTTTAAATTCACTGAATTCTTTTATCATGTTTATAATTGTTCTTTTGAGTTCCATGTCCTGCATTATCTCTAGGGGGTTCTCATTGTACTCCTCTAGAGGACTATTGGTATTTGGTGGGGATATGTTATTTTGGTTTTTCATGTTGTTATTTTTTCTCTGTGATTTTGACATGTGAATTTCTTTTGTAGTTTCTGATTCTTGTGTGATACTCAAGCCTTCAAGTTTAGGCCAGCTTCTTTTTGTGAATTTTATGTGTCTTTTTGGTTTACTTTTTGGACATGAAAGCCTGGTTCCTCTAAGCTTCCGGTTCTCTCTTTTGATTTGATATTGGAGTGGCCAGATTCCTTTTGTCTCCAGGAGTTCCCACAGAGGCCCAAGTCAGATGAGGATCAGATGCTCTCAGGCTTTCTCCTAAGGTCTGGATCCCTCCAGGATAGATTTTGGCTTCAGGAATTTGGGGGTTGGACTGACCTGGGAGCTGGGCCCAGGAAAGATGCTGGTTTAGGGCAGCTGTTGGCCCTGCCACACAGAGATGCAAAAGAAGATGGGGGTGGGAGGCGGCCCCACGGGTCCCTGGGGACTGCACTGAGGAGCTGGGTTGGTCTGGATGCAAAGGACCAGTAAGAGGAAAGGTCAGCCCTGGAGTCTAAGAAAGAGGCTGGCTGCTTGGGAAGCAGAGGGAGGTGAGGGCGTGGCCAGGCCCTGTAGCAGTGCTAATGGGGACCTGAGACTCAGGAACTGAGTTGCTTTGAATGCACAGGATCAGGAAGAAGCAGTGCTGGTTCCCCAGGTGTCTGGGGCACCAAGACAAGGAATGGGACAGGACCCAGGCTAGGAGGAGAGACAGACGGGGGAGATGGGAGGGTGAATGAGGCTGGGGAAGTCAAGGCATGGGAGGGCCCAATTGACTTACCCCTGAGAGAGGAGCCTGCATGCAGGTCAGAGAGAGGCCTGTGGGTCCTGTAAACCCAGGGAAACAGCTGCTTGTGTTTTTTTATGTCATCTCCGAGAAACCTCTCCCAAATCCCATGTCAGAGATTTCTCGATGTTTTCACCTTAACAGTTTTATAGATTAGGTCTTGGCTCAGTTTTGAATTCAGTTTTGTATAGGGCACAAGGGAAGAGTCTAACTTCATTCTTTTGCATTTGAATGGCCAGTTTCCTAGCACCATTGGATGAAATGACTGTTCTCCTTAATGTGTGCATTCTGAGTGGTCTGCTCCTTCAGTCTGTGTCTGTTCTGCCTGCACACTCTGTTTTGACTACCACAACTTTCTGTTAAGTTTTGACATCATAAAGTGAGTTTCTCAACTTTGTTCTTTTTCAAATTAGGTGAAATTAATTTTAGTAACTTAGTATGTCATTTCAGGATATAATCAATGTAAAACATTATTAATGAGTTTTTTACATTATTTTTATAGTAAGTCTTGAACTTTGGGGCTGGAGAGATGGCTCCACGGTTAAGAGCACTAAATGTTCTTGCAGAAGACCTGGATTCAGATCCAGGCACCTACATGGCAGCTAACAACTGTCCATAACTCCAGTTCCAGGGGATCCGACAGCCTCTTCTGTCCTCCGCGGGCATTGCACATGAGTGTACTTACATACATGCAAGCAATACATGCGTACACATTAAAAAAATTTTTTTTAAATAATAAAATATTCGGAAAAAAAAAGTCTTGAACTTAGGTACATGTTTAACTCAACACTACCTCAGTTCAGACCAGCTGCATTTTAGGGCCAAATCTCCACATGTGGTTCCTGGGCACCATATTGGATAGCTCAGAATTAGCTGAAAACTGTGTTGTATGGTACAGATCTCTGAAACACTGTATTTCAGGTGCACCTGGTGCTCAGTACGTCTCTTTTTATTGTCAGGGTAGCAGAAGGAAGCCACATGTGGGTGCCGTGATAAAGGGGGGGCAAAACAGGAGGCAACAACCAAAGACATGATGGGGAGGTTGAGCCTTGAGCTCGCCTTGGAGGTGGAGTGGCTCAGTGTAGCAGTCGTAGTGGGAAGGCCATTCTGGCAGCTCCATGGAGGACTCAGGATTTTGAAAGACCCCAATGCTCTTGGAGAGCCACAGGCAGGTGTAGCTCTACCAGGATATTAGGAGTGGGGTGGGGCTGGTGAGAGGAGAGGTGGGAGAGGTGGGCTAAGGCCTGACCTGCCCCCAGTATTTCCTGTCTGAGCTGTCTCCTGTGTCTACTTTGCCCCTCCTCTCAGCATCTCTTCCTCCATTAAAGCTTTTTCTTTTTTTAAAAATTTTATTTATTTTTTTATTTTATGTGTATGCGTGTATTGCCTGCATGTATGTAAGTGCACCCTTGTCATGCAGTGCCCACGGAAGTCAGAAAAGGCTGTCGGATCCCCTGGGACTGGAGTTACGGATAGTTGTTAGCTGCCGTGGGTGCTGGGATTCGAACCTGGGTCTTCTGCAAGAACAGTCAGCGTTCTTAACCGCTGAGCCATCCCTCCAGCCCCTCGTTAAAGCTTTTAATTTAGATCTGGGCATAGTGGTACACGTCTGCGTGCCAGCACTTGGGAGGCTAAGGCAGGAAGTTTACGTTGAGGTTGAGGCCAGCCTGTGCTCTGTAGCCAGACCCTGTCTCAAATAACAGCAAAAGGTAATTTAGACCTGTTTACTTTCTGCTTTACATTTAACTTGGTCGAATCAGAGGGTCTGGGTCCTCCGACATTTGTGCTTCCCTCCCGTCCAACCCCCTTCCAGTCTCCCTCCTGATTGCTCCTCTCTGGCATGTGGGTCCACTTTCCCCACCCTAGGGCCTCTGAATTTACTTTGCTTTCTGCCTGAAGTATGCTTCCCTCAAATGTCAAGCCTGAGCCAAGTCACCTGCCCCTCCATTCTCATCTCTGTTCTTCCCGGGGCTTTCCTCTCACCCCATACAAAATCAGATGACACCCTGCTTAAGTGTCTCTGAAATAGTTCTCACTGCCTGACCCAGCGTGTTTCCACGTATTCAGTCTGCCACCATCAGGGCAGAGATCTGAGAGAGCAGGGATTTGTCTGCTGCTCATTCTTCAGTCTTTGGTATTCCTAAGTGTTTGTTGACCAGGTGCATGAACAAAGAAAATCAGATATGTATACAGTTGATGTAGCTCAGTTGGCACAGTGTGTACTTGGTATGCACGAGGCCCTCAGTTCCATCCCCAGCACCACATAAGCTGGGCACAGGGCCACATGCCTATAACTCTACCACTTGGAGGTGGAGGCAGGAGGATCAGACGTTCCAGGTCATCCTGGACTACATAGGGAGGTCGAGGCCACTCTGGGATATATGAGACCCTGTCTTAAAAACAAAACAAGGGGGCTGGAGAGCACTGACTACTCTTGCAAAGGACCCAGATTCAGTTCCTAGCACCCACATGGCAGCTAACAACCATCTATACCTCCAGTTCCAGGGTATCTGACACCACATTCTGGCCTCCACAGGCTCCTACATACTTGTGGTATACTTATAGTCAAAACACTCATACACATAAAATACAAATAAAAATTTAAAAATCACATAGAAATGTGGCAGGTTTTCAGTAATACATTGATTTGAGATTTTTGCATTTGCTTATTTATTTTCATTATATTTGGGAAACTTTAAAAAAAAAGTTGAAAGAATTGTTCTGTCTATATACCCTCTAATTAGATTCAAGAATTGTTTGCACTTTATTTACCACAGCTGCTTTATGTGTTCTTGCATGGATGTGTGTGTTGGTGCAGGTGGGACCACTTAAAGGTCACATAGAAGCCTGACCCTTAACTCTTTGTATTTAGAGTTGCTCTGGAGAGTGGTGAGTCTGAGGAGACCTCTGGCAGTGGTGGCTTGGGCCATGGCCTCCGACCTGGACTTCTCACCTCCCGAGGTGCCTGAGCCCACCTTCTTGGAGAACCTGCTGCGGTACGGGCTGTTCCTAGGGGCCATCTTCCAGCTCATCTGTGTCCTGGCCATCATCATACCCATTCCCAAGTCCCACGAGGCGGTGAGTCCTCCCTGTGACCTCAGCTCCTCCAAATGCCAAGCTGGGTTCTTGTACCAGCAGAGACATCACCACAGCCAAAATCAGAAGGGACAGTGAATGTGACCCCGAATTGCCACCTGGTGGATCGGACCACATGACTAGCCCTCAATTTATTCGGGTCTTTTTCATGTTGTTTTGATTACTTTTTTCCTGTATGTATGTAAGTGAATCTGTGTGTGCAATGCTCACAGAGGCAAGAAGAGGGTGTTGGATCCCCCTGGAACTTAAGTTGCTGCCTGTTAGCCATCATGTGGGTAACTAGGAACCAAACCTGGGTCCTTTGCAAGGAGGTCCTCTTAACTGCTGAGCCGGCTCTCCAGCCCCTGATTTGCTTTCTGAGGCAAAGTCTCACTATATAACCTAGGGCTGACTCCACACTCGTATCCCCTTGCCTCAGCTTCTTGAGTGCTGGGATTCTGTTAAGGGTTTTCTTATTTTAATTTGCTTTGTTTTGTTTTGAGACTGAGTCTAGCTGGGTAGCTCAAGCTGGCATCAACTTCCAGGTACTTGTTCTGCCTCAACCTCCTGGGATTACAGGTGAGCCATCACACATGGCTTCTGTTAATATTTTTATTAGTTCATGCTGCAAGACTGTTGCAAGATGTGGTCTTTGCCTTCAAGGAGCTTCTTGTCTTTGAAGGGAGGCAGATATAAAGTGAATCTGTAGTCCCAGTACTTAGGAGGAAGTGCAGGAGGATTCTGAGTCCATGGCCAGCCTAGATATATAGTGAAGCGATACTCTGTCTTTAAAAACACACACACACATACATATACATATGCTTATATGTATATGTTTGCTTCCATGAGAAATACAAGGCACAGTGAGAGTGGTGGAGAGACTAAATAGTAGCCTGGGGTAGGGCTGGGGTGTCCCTGCTGCGACAGTGTTTGGGCCAAGATAGAATTAGCACGCTTCTCAGGTGAAGTGGGGAAGGTAAGGGGACAGCATTCCAGGGCAAGGGAACTTCCTGTGCAAGGGGCCTGAGTCCTGAAAAGCTGGGCTAATCCAGGGAACTGAATGAGGTGACTGTCATCACAGCACAGAGGGGACTGGGTCAGAGGTGGTATAGCCAGAGGCCCAGACGGTTTGAAGTAAGATGGTGATGTTAAATTGGCTTTTTGACTTTGACTCTCACTCTATGAAGGTCCTATTCTCTACCTCTCTCCTTTCACCTGCTCTTGTACACTACCCCCAAGTTTCTAAACCTGACATTGATTTGTGGAGAGAACAGGTCTATATCACCTGTGATCTCTACATCCAAGGATTTGGCTGCTTGCTTCTCTGTGTGGCATATGTGTTCCATATGTCCTACCCACAGGAAGTTCCATCTAGGCCCCTGAGACCATTCAGGCCTGGATCTGTGGTGCTGGTGCTGTGGACTTGCTTTGTGTGTCGGAAAGATCATGGTGTCTGACTCCCATGCATTTACAAAGTCTCCTAAGTCCAGGTGTTTTCACCTCACTGTAGAATCCCTGAAGTCTGTAGCTTCAGTGGCTTTGCGTTGCTGACGATCATTGCAGAGATCCCTTTTTGTTCCGCACTTGCTGTAATTCTCCAGGGAGGACCTCTGTGGACACTCGGAGTGCTTTTAGTCCTGAACACCAGGGTGAACACGTGGTCTGTTCCCTGTAGCATTTTTCAGAGTAGTAATGCTGAGCCTTAGCAACAGTTAGTGTTGACTACTGAGGCTGTGGATTTCATGTAAATTTGAGCTTTATTTCTATATACTTGATATTTTAAGTAGGTTCTTTTTTTGTTATATTTATTTATTTACTTATTTTTGTCTTTTTGAGACAGGGTCTCCCTGTAGCCCCAGCTGGCCTGGAACTCACTTTGTAGACCAGGCTGGCCTCGAACTCACAGAGATCCGCCTGCCTCTGCCTCCCCAGTGCAGGGAATAAAGGTATGTTCCACCATGCCTGGCTTAATTTTTATTATATGTTCTTATTTATGTGTTGGAAATGTGGGTTGGTTTGAGCATGTGTAGAGGTCAGAGAACAACTTTTGGGAGTTGATTCTCTTCTTCCATCATGTGAGTTGGAGGGCTAGAGCTTGTTTGTCAGTCCTGGCATCTGCTGAGCCATCCCATTGGCCCATGTTTTTTTTTTTTCTTAATATTTTATTTTTTTATGCATAGGAATATTTTGCCTGCATGTATATAAGTGCACCACTTGTATACCTGGTGCCCATGGAGGCCAGAAAAAGGCGTCAGATCCCATGGAATTGGAGTTAAGGATGGGTGTAAGGATGTGGGTGCTAGGAACCAAACCCCAGATCCTCTATAGGAGCAGCCAGTGCTCTTAGCTGCTGAGCCATCTTTCTAGCCCTGGTTTTTGTTTGGTTTTGTTATTTGAGACAGGATCTCACTTTGTAGCCCAAGATGTCCTTGAACTCACTATTCTCCTATCTTAGGTTCCCAAGTGCTGGGTTAACAGGTGTGTGCCAACACACCCAGCCACAATATTTTTTTTAATTTATTTATTTTTATTTTATGTGTATAAGTGTTTTGTCTGCATGTACCAGTGTCATACAGTGCCCATGGAGGCCAAAAGAGGATGTCAGATGCCCTGGAACTGGAATTACAGGTGGTTGTTAGCTGTCATGTGGGTGCTGGGAACTAAACCCAGGTTCTCTGCAAGAGTAACCAGTACTTTTAACTGATGAGCCATCTCTTCAGCCCCAGCCCCAGATAATGGCTCACACCTATAATCACAGTACTCAGGAACTCTTATTTCCTAGAAACACTAACAAAATGACCAGTTTGCTATGTCCTGCTATATCAGGCCATCCCAGGATCAGTGATTAGGTAGGGGGCCTCACAGCTGTGGTCACCACAGTGAAAGGATACAAAACAAAACCAGCAAAGAGAAAAGGTGTGGACAAGACTGGAAGAAAACTGGCCTAAGTCCCACATGTGCTCAGCTCCAGCAGCAAGGGGATGTGAAAAGTTGGTCCATGGAATGTTGTTCAGCTGAGAAGCTCCTTAGTGACTCGGTGCCTGGGGTGGGTGTGGGGTGGGTGTTGGGGTTTGGGTTTGGGTTTGAGTTTTTTTTAAGAGGCAGAGTTTCATGTAGCCCAGGCTAGCCTCAAACTCACTATGAGGATGAGCTGAGGATGGCATTAACTCATTCTTTTTTTAAAGAAAATTTATTCTTTTTATTTTTTGTATATGAGTGTATTACCTGCATGTACGCAAGTGCACCCATATTGTGCAAGGCCCAAGGAGTTCAGAAGAGGTTGTTAGATCCCCTGGAGCTGGAGTTACACATGGTTGTTAGCCACCATGTGGGTGCTGGGGTTCAAACCTGGGTCCTCTGCAAGAACATCCAGTGTTCTTAACCATTGAGCCATCTCTCCAGCTCAGGATGGCATTAACTCTTGATCCTCCTGCCTCCATGTCTTGAATGTTGGGATTATAGGTATGTGCCACCCACACTTGGTTCATGCAGTGTTTGGGATGAAACCCAAGGCTTTATGCATGCACTGTTATCAACTGAACTACATCCCAAGCTCATAAAGTATTGGCAGTGCAACCTTAAGCCAGTGGTTTCCCTTTTTGTGGCAGTACTGGGAATTGAACATAGAGCACTGTGTGTCTGAAGCAAGCACTCTACCTATGAGCTACATCCCAGCCCAGCAAGGGTTTTTACTGGGACCAGTCTCATAAGCACTGTGTATCTGCCATATACCCAAAGTCCATGCTTCCAGAAGGGAAGCAGGTGTTCAGCATAAGCATCTTGCTTGCTCGACCAGCTGGTGCACAGTGAGCCACTCTTACTAGTCTTGAAAATTAGGGGAACTGCTAGAAATTCAGGTTCCCAGTGCCAGCCAAGGACTAGTCTTGCAAGGGGGCATCTATAAGAATAGTGGTCTTTTATTTTATGTTAACGTCATTCTCCCACCTACAATATACTGATTATAGTTTAAAATAGCTGCTTGTTTTTACTGCTGACAGTAAATCAGGGGTTCAGTTGAGATTACTTTTTAGCCTCAGCTTATGTCCCTGAAGGGATGTGTGATCAGAGGGTGGTGCTCAGCCTATTCTGTCTGCACTCACTCCCAGAAGATGTTAGGCAAATTTGCTACAACTTGTTTTTAATTTCTAGGTTTTTTTTCTTTTTTCTTTAATTTGCTTCGAAAACTTATAAAACATTTATATATAATATTTCCAAGCTCCATAATAAGGTACATTCGTAGAAGCTTTCTTTAATTTCATTATGCCCCCCCCAACTCCCTTCTTTTCACGTAGAGAACTATTTTTATTACTGTGATTTATCTTTATTATTTTGATTCATTGGCTATTTAAAAAAACAAGTAACTGCTTGTGTGTTGCTTATATATTAATATATATCTATTTGTGGTCCCTCGTTTGATATATAAAGCTAGCACATACTTGTAAGCATAATTTTACACCTTTAAATTTTTTTTCATTTACTTTTTCTTTTGTCTTTTTGAAGCAGGGTCTCCCTGTAGCCCCAGCTGTCCTGGAACTCACTATGTAGACCAGGCTGACCAGATCTGCCTGCCTCTGCCTCCGAAGTGCTGGGACTACAGGCATGTGTCACCATGCCCGGCTTCATTTACTTTTATATGTATGAGTGTCTTGTTTACATGCATGTAAATGCACCTGTACATGCAATGTCCATGAGGCCAGAAGAAGAGGGTGTCAGATCTCCTGGAACTGGAGTCATAGATAGTTGTAAGCCACCATGTGGGTACTAGAAACCAAACTCAAGTCCTCTGGAAGAACAGCCAGTGCTCTTAACTGCTAGGTCACATTTTTTTTTTTTTGAGACAGGGTCTCACTATGTTGCCCTGGCTGGCCTGGAAATCACTGTGTAGACCAGGCTGGCCTACAACTCACAAAGATCAGGTTGCCTCTGCCTCTGAATGCTGGGACTAAAGGCATGCACCACCATACCTAGCTATTTTCTTTACTTAACAGTATACCGTATACTCT